GCATTATTTGTATTTACAAATACTTTTTAGTATTTAAATACTTTTCGGTATTTAAATAGCGAATATTCAAATACCTTCTGGTTCACCTTATTATATTTATATTTACGAATATTTGTTGGAATATATTTATAACATAGTATTGGAAAAAAGATTCGCAAAGTATTCAAATATATCTGAAGTATTCAAATACTGTGGAACTATTTGAATACTTAGGAGTATGTAAAAACTTCACAAACGATAAGATTTCCACAAAATTCTCAAACACACCACATGTTTCGCTAACACAGTAGCTTCGTCAGGTGATATACTATAGTACGATGAACTAAACTAACATTGACTTGATTATACAGGGTGTTTCATTACTAATTGGAAATATTTCAACCATAGAATCCCGAACTCAAAATATGAAGATTTAACCCAAATCACCTAGATAAAATATGTCTCCTGTCTGAGTTACAGGGTGTTTTATTCAAAAATTTTTAAATGTTTTTTGCCCAGTTCTTCAAAATTATTTGACGTATCACTTTCATATTTGGAGGGAAGTGTAGGTATTATATATCCAACTCAATTATGTGAAATGAACTTTTCTAGCTATTACCAGAGGCGTACGACAAGGACAAGTGAATGGTTGATCCTTCCCAAAATCTACGCCACTGGCGGAATTGCAATTTTATCAGAATTTTTCGATTCTTCAATACCTCTTTCGTAAATATTGTACTCTTTCTTCATAGCGATAAAGTAATTATTTTTCGAGATATTTCAAGTTGAACATGAAGCAGCACAATTATTTTGATTTTAATGTGTATCTTTGAATCAATGGACTGCATTCATCAATCAAATGAAACTTCAATCAATATTAACATAAAGAATTAACAGACGGGAGCTGTTACAGGGCGTTTTGAACTATTTAATATATTACATAATTAAACACCCTGTAACAGCTCCTGTCTGTTATGTAATTATGTTTTTATTGTTAATATGGATTGAAGTTTCATTTTATTGATGAATACAATCCGTTGATCCAAAATATTGACAAAATTTTTGCACATTGAAATCAAAATGATTGTGCAGATTTATGTTCAACTTGAGATATCTACGTCAAAATTGTTGGAGAATCGAAAATTTGTGATAGAATTGCAATTCCGCCAGTGGCGTAGAATTTGAGAGGGATCAACCAGTTAATTGCCCCTGTCGTACGCCTCTGGTAATAGCTAGAAAAGTTCATTTCACATAAATCAGTTGGATGTATAATACCTACACTTTCCTCCAAATATTAAAGTGATACATCAAATTGTTTTGAAGAACTGGGCAAAAAACATTTCAAAAATTTTTGAATAAAACACCCTGTAACTCAGGCAGGAGACATATTTTATCTTGGTGATTTAGGTTAAATCTTCATATTTTGAGTTCGGGATTCTATTGTTGAAATATTCCCAATTAGTAATGAAACACCCTGTATATCCTACTTTCCCAACCTGAAGGATTATAGTTACCTGTGGACAGATTCGATAAACCTCCATTTTCGGAAATCAGGCACAATATCTACATTAAAATACGGTGTACCGGATTAACTTGAAAGGGTTGATATCAAATACATATTATTACTTACTAAGAAAACAAATTCAACAATGGTGAACTATTGAGGTCTAATTGATCGTAAAGTAAAATGTCAGAATTTCTGTTTTGTTTGTTGATTTCTAATGATTCAAAATGATTGAGTTTCATTCCTTTATTTTCTACGTGTAGAATTTCGAAATTATCATCAAAACTATGGTTTTCTTCTAATATAATGGTTGGCGTATGTTGAATTTGTTTTCTTTTCAAGAAATTCACCTTATGTTCATGAATGCGCTGATTAAACGTACGACCTGTCTGACCGATATATACCTTGGGACAAGATCCACAGTTGAGTTTGTATACCCCTGATTTTCCGAATCAAGAAGTTTTGTCTTTATTATTTCTGATGACCCTTCCCAACGTGATATGTGTTGTATATGCTACTTTCAAGTCTTCTTTATGTAGAAATGAAGCTAATTTTTCAGTTGAAGATCCGAAATAGGTTAAAGTTCTATAATTTTGATTATTAATATTAATGGTAGAATAAACTTCTTGAATAGCTTCATTATGAAGTTTTCAAGAAATAATACTGTCTTATCAAATTAACGTTGTATCGGTTGTTGGCTGCAATTTGTTTTATTGAAATTTACTTCCGAAAGAGGGACATTCTAGCCTGTGTATCATACTTATTATATGCAGCAATTTTATGTTGATAAGGGTGCGTTGTCGACCGACCAGGATTTTTCAGTATTTTTCTTTTAACTGAAAATAGAATTACAAAATATGTTCGAAAACACCAAACCGTGACCAGCGAGTATATGGTAAATTCCATTTGCGGAATATTTCTGCAACTTTGTGAACTATTTTCAGCTTATTTTGTCATCGTAAATGAATATCGAAATTCAATTGTATACCAACTTTTATCTTCAAATAACACCCTGTATATATATATTTAGAGTATTCGTTACACGATGATGAGGAATATGAAATATTGCAATCACGAATCGAATTTGAAATTACTGAAATTAGAATGTTTCCTTTTACTTCTTGTGAGGCATTCATAATCCGAAAGTACCTTTACTATCTCAATTGAAATATGAGTTAGAGTTGTTGCATCATTTCATCTCATTTCATGAGAAATTTTCGTTAGAAATAAAATCTAAGTACCTTCTTAAAAGATTTATGATAAGAATTATAAGCCATCGCACCTTCCTTACTGCAAAGCTAATTGATTTATCTCAAGTTATATTTCATCAATATCAAAATAAATTATTAGCTATAATTATCCTGTGGCAATTTCATCCAATTTCAAACCAATATACAGGGTGATTGGAAGTATTATCGAAAACCTAAACGGATGGAGAAATGAAGTGATCCTGAATATTTGACCTTTCCAAAATCAAAAAATTTTAAAAATACATCTCTGATTCTGAAACGAATTGATCCATGTTCATGATCACGATTATGTAGATTATTTCCTTTCTGAAGTATCCACATGTGATATTTACAGGGCGAAATCTAGACCCCTCAGCAAAAACAATATTTTCAAACACATCACAATTGCCAGAAAAAAAAATTGGAATTTCTCTCGTTGGCACATTGGGTGTCAGCAGAATTTCTTTTGACGGAACAGTTTCGATTTTTCTTGTTAGTTGGTCCCGAGGTTTGCCCTGACTTTTTTAATGACATGCATTATTTATTCGTTTCAAAAATGTTTTTTCAAAACACATTGAGCAATAACAATTTGCCCCATCCACAGCTTTGCAGAATGATATAGTACCCTCCATACCGCGTTCTCTTCCAGAATTCCCATTTCTTCCCAGGAAACTAAGAACTCACGGCGCAGGCAGGTCAATGCTGTCAATGAAGACCTTGCTGAAATCACAGCCTGAGGAACCAACAACCTACTTGAATTCAACGCCACCAAAACTCAAGGCTGTATTTTCTCTGAAAAGGCGGAACTCAGTATGCCCAATATTGTAATGTCTGGCACCACCATCCCCACCAAGCCCACCATATCTATGCTCGGTAGCTCCATCAGCAACACTCTTTCATGGGATAATCATGTCAGATCCATCGCAAAAGCTGCTTCACAAAAACTCGGATTCTTGTTCCGTGCGAAAAGCTACTTTACACCTCAACAGCTTCTCATGATCTACAAAGCGCAGATACGGCCTGTTCTAGAATACTGTTCCCACATATGAGGTTCAGCACCAAAACATACGCTGATGCTCTTAGATTCCATTCAGAGAAGAACCATCCGCCTGATGGTGGGTGACGCCACACTCACTCACTCTTTGACATCATTGGAACACCGTAGAAAGGTCAGCGACCTTTCACTTTTCTACTATTCTCTGCTATCATCCCTTCACTAGCAATACAGTCAGACGAACTAGACAAGCCCAGTCAGCACATCCTTTCGTTGTCAACCTCGAAAGATGTCGAACAGCACTTTATCAAAACTCCTTCATCCATAGAACGGCTAGGCTCTGGAATTCATTGCCTGAGGAAGTATTCCCAACAACATATTATAATCTCCAGAAGTTCAAAAAAAATTCCAATACCTACCTCCTATCCCTATCCTCCCTAGGAACGCACGATGTTCTTTGAACATTATAGGGATTCTCTTACGTGCGCTCCAAGCGATAAAAAAAATAATAATAAAAAAAGATACCTCCAACAATAATCCCCTTTTTGTTTTCACTCTGAATCCAATTTCAAAAGTGTTATGTGAAGCTAAATACATCGTTATATTCTCATCTACTTATTATGCTTGCATGTAAAGTCTTAGCATGTACGCATCAAACTATCTAAATTGAGAAAAAAGAAACAATATCATTATAGGCTACTGTAAAGTAGGTAGTATGTCGAGAATGTCAACGCATTTTATTCTGATGACATTTCTGCACTGTTGACTCCAATCAATGTACGAGGCATTCACGGTTCGTTAACATTTTACACACAGATTTCCTATTTTACTGAATGATATTACTGCATTTCCGTGATTCAACAGAATAACGGGTAATTAGTGTCATCAGCAACTGACTCAAATCAATGGATATACAGGGTGATTCACGTATATTCTAGTAGTTAAAGATCTATCAGTTTTCGATCTAATAGAAATTGAATAATAATTCAGAGTGGCACGAATGTTGGATCCATCAGGATTTGATCTAATAGAAATTGAATAATAGCCTTGATTGATATTTTAGCGTAAGCGTAATATATCAATCAACGATAATAGTTCAGTGGCACGAATTTTAACTACATTGGAAATCACACTCGGTTTTCAGCGGGAATGATTACAGAGATATAGAGTGTTCAAAAATCAATATTTTTCAACTCTAGGATTTTTTGGGTCGAAACTATTCATTATTGATCAAAAAGGCTTACATGTCCCTATCTTGACTTCTGATTTACTATCTACTGACATTTCTTTTCAGAACTAGTGAATTGATTGCACTGATGGCCATATCAACCACATTATTCCTGTTTCTTCACACCCGAGATCTGAATACGAAACTGAAGGAAATGGAGGTCAAAATACAACCATACAGTATGGTATCTGGGAATCAGTTGATTTCAGGTGAGTTGAAGAAAAAAAGTGAAAAAAGTAATAATGTTTCACAAGGTGATAAGATTTCTCTTAAAAAAAAGTGAGTGATAAATCTTCGATATACATATATTAAGACCGTACTAGTTAATACAGGTTGTCCCAGAATTACGTTCGTATATACTCCGGGATGTATTTCTGCAGATGAAAATAAGGAAAAAATTTGAATAGGAATATTCTCAGATGAATTATAAACATGAAAAAATGGATATATGTATATATATACAGGTGTTGCGAAATTCGATCGACAACGCTTGACAGGTGATAGCCCTCGTGATTTCATAATCATTGAGATAAAGACATATGGTCTTCAAGTGCTCAGTTCTCGAGATACAGGGCGTTGCAGTTAAGACATAAAAATAGTTGTTTCGCAATATCTCAAGAATAATTTAATATAATGCATTCAAATTCAGTATATGGTTTCACCTTTGAATGGGTCATTTTTTGACCAGGGAGCCATTCCGGACATTTCATCCAGTGGTGCCTTACAGGGGGCTGTGGTAACTTTTTCTGCCATATTTTCTACGCCACTGATTAAATTTCGATTATTTCCAATTCCCTGAATTCATTGTTCAATTTTGTTCAGAAAATGTATCACCTTCAGCTGAGCTGAGATGATCAGTTTTCGAGATATTCGACCCGAAATAGAAGATTGCATAGTAATATTTCATTATTTTCAGTAGTAGAAAATTGCAAGAATATATTTCCTGTGTTGAGTAGATTAGATACTATTCAGATTTCATCCTGTAGCTGAACAGAAATAGTTATTCCACGCATAAAGAGAAAACAAACATTTTTGTAATTTTCCACTACTGAGGAAGATGAAAAATTACTATGCAAACTTCTATTTTGGGTCAAATATCTCGATAACTGTTAATTTTAGCTCAGTTGAAGGTAATGCATTTTTTCAACATAATTGGAAAACCAATTCGAGAAATTCGAAATAATCGAAATATCGCCAGTGGCGTAGAAAATATGGGAGGAAAAGTTATCACAACCCCCCGTACGTACAGGGTGATTCACCATAAATGCCCCCCCCCCCCTCTAGCTCAGTTATTTTTGAACCGATTGCAAAATTTTAAATATCATCTGAAATGATTTCCGATAGAGTTTTTTTTCGCTACATCAGAAAATACGAGGTGCTCGGAACAAACGATCTACAGGGTACTATTTGATATTTTTGAATTAAACACCCCATTTTTCATTGTATTTTCAGATTCTCCCTGAAGAGCTGATTTCACACGAAAATGATTACAGAGATATATGGTGTTCAAAATCGAGATTTTTCAACTTTAGGATTTTTCTGTGACGAAGCTATTCAGTATCGGTCAAAACGACTTTCATGTCCGTATCTTAACTTTTGTTTTACAATTTTACAATCTACTGATATTTAATAATTGGAACAGATACAGGGTGATCGGAATTCTGAATCTTGAACAACACTGTATATGTTCCAATTAAATGTCAGTAGATAGTAAATCAAAAGTTGATAGAAGAACATCAAATCCTAAAATTGAAAAATCTCGATTTTGAACACCCTATATCTCTGTAATCATTCCCGCTAGACCCCAAGTGTGATACATTGATGAAATCAGCTCTCCAGGGAGAATCAAGTAGTACTCTGTAGATCGTTTGTTCCGAGCACCCTGTATTTTCTGAAGCAACGGGAAAAAAGTTTCTGAAAAATCATTTTGGATGATTTTTAAAATCTTTAAATCGGATAAAAAATAAGTGAGCTAGAGGGGGGGACATTTATGGTGAATCACCCTGTACCTATGAATAGAATTCTCGGAGTGTCTTCCTGGTCAAAAAATTAACCATTGAAAGATGAAACCATATACTTGAACAATTTTTCTTGAGATATTGCGAAAAAACTATTTTAATTTCTCAACTTCAACGCCCTGTATCTCGAGAACTGAACACTTGAAGTATGTCCCTATCTCAGTGATTATGAAATCACCTGTCAAGCGTTGTCGGTCGAATTTCGCAACACCCTGTATAAAGAAATACATTGAGAATTCGCATACTCTATGTGATGAAAATATCAATTCTTCCTACAAGTGGGGGGGGGGGAGGTCGCAAAATGCAACATTTTCAATTTCGTAGTATCTCAAAAAAGAAGCAGGATATGAATACTTTGTTTTCGGTATCGTGAGTTTCACAAAAAAATAGCCCCCGTTCAGATCAAATCAGTCCGAAAATAATGTGAGAAAAAAGTTCAAATATTATAAAAACTAATGGAATACACAAAATTTATACTCACCCAATAATTTTGTTGTAACATTTCACCAATTTCACCCTAGATATAATCCTCTTCTGGAACATCTGGAAATAAGGAAAACACTTTGTACCCAAGTAGAACGAATTTAATTCATATGTGAACTCAGATTTTATGAGAATCACAAGAAAAATAGGGAACTTTGATGTGATAAAATGTTCCACAGTTCGTTTTTCTAATGATTCATATCCTATCAATAATGCTCGATTTCACTTACCTAAAAATTACTATAAATATTCAAATGTATAACTTCACAAACGATAAAATTCCCACAAAATTCTCAAACACACGACATGTTTCGCTAACACAGTAGCTTCGTCAGGTGATATACTGGTACGTCATCGTTTTTGTTGCAGTATTTAGTAAGATTGTACAAAATCATCAATCAAATTGCACTATTTATTGTGAAAATGAAGAAATATTGAAAAATAATAATTGATTGTTATATGAATCTCCCTATATCCTTTGATTTATTTGATGTGGGAAGCAATGGGCGTGTACCTACACCTTGGTAGAACTTTTAACCCAAAGTATGTTTATAATGATCCTTTCATATATAAATAATGATTGACGATATAATTCGATCGAAAAATTAACTGGAATGTTTAATATCTGGACATAAATAATAGTACCTCCTTAAAACGGACCCTCTTATGACGTAGAAACCTCATCTCGCCATAGTTAAAAGAAAATACCAAACGCCCGACGGAGACTGAGGCAACTGATATATTAATTCTTTCAACTGTGATCTCGCGCTAATTCACTCTGGCAGAAATCATGTATCATTCATCTCTGTCTGGAATAGTCTTGTTTCAGTATTAGGATTTTGACGTCACATCATCGCCTCGTTTTCTGAGGTCCGAAAAATCGGGGATTTCAATAATTTTTTATAAAACGTAGGGAGCTCACAGCGATAAACGGTTTGCTGTGTTGAGCTAATTTGGGTGAGTACTATCGAATTATGGAATAAAATTTTTTGTGATATAAGCCCATTGTCATGTTAATCAAAACACAAATTCAGAGTGACAGACAGAGCATTACTGTCATTTTCGATTCAGAGGAATTGCGATGAAAAACTTCCAGCTACAGATGCGATACAGATGAGTTATTGCCAACGAGGTCTTAAGGTATGAGAAGCACTACACGGGATATATTGAATGGTGCGATAGTAAAAAAGTGAAAACACCAAATGAAGAAGTATTTTGAGCTCATCTCCTAGAAATGTCTGACACCTAGAGGCCAAACACTATGGGCATGCTGGCTTCCGCAATAAGCTCACCTACATAATGCTTCAAACGGTACACACAATAGATATATCACTAATTATTAGAGAGAATATATCAATATTGTTAGTTCTTCCTATTTGCAGGAATAATTGATTGAACAAATCAATCAATTTCCTACGGTTGTAGGAAATGAGAATTTTCCTAACAAGTGCGGAAAGTGATTCTTTCCCGCACGCGACTGCCGTTGACACGAACGATGCGAAGCGGAGTTCGGGCAAGCAGTCGAGTGTGGGAAAGACACTTTCCGCATGAGTTATTTTCCACTTCTTTTCAGTTCGGCTATTCATTACGACCTGCCGACTGGGCTATATCTATTCATTTTACTTGGTTCTTTGGGATTTTCTCTCCTCGTTTCTATAGAAACCATTTTACCAAGTAAAATGAATATACCACCTCCTCGATTAACCTACAGACAGTATTGGGCTATATCTGTTTAATATACTTCAGAAGTTGGTAGTACA